CTTGACACAAAAAGTTAATTTGGGCCTAGAACGTAAAAATAGACTACACGCATCAAACTATATACATGTTACGTATATTACACTGGTAAATAATAGCTAGTGCAATAAGATTTGCTCAAAATGTTTTTTCATGTTTTTCGACATTGAAACATCTAGCACGAAACCTGTTCAGATCACAACACGTGACTGAAATGTTCAACAGTGCATTTAGTATCAAAAGCAAGTAGACACTAGGTTTGGGGTTCGCCCTTAAGTGTGTATTTATAACAATTTTTAAGTTGATTTAAATGATTAAGATGCTGTCAAACGAGATGTGAATTATAAATATTGTTACATAATAACGATTTTTTTTGTGTGTGTTTCAGGCCAATGAAAAAACCACCTCGAAAACAACAATATCTATAGATGAAAACATGTCAGTCGGGTGTTTCACTGTCGGTATGATACATTGGTGCGATCTCAACACACTGCTCATTTATGTTACGTTAAACTTTCAGTCTCACGAGGAATTGGTATTGTCGCATGATTTAAAAATTATAAAAAGAAAACTGCAGGATTCCAAAGAGCAAACATGATCCCTGTATGATGTCCCGGCTATAACCGACAGTGTTCCCCGTTACCTGGAGGTCAACCAGCGTCTGTTCACCTAACACTTAACAGTGTTCCCCGTTACCTGGAACAACAAAATTGTAATATTACGTAACTCAGTGTGACGTCACTCATCTAACAAGAGACATTTTAACAACGGAATTACTAGATATATGTGGCATAGAAACATTCCTGACTATGGACAATATAACAGAAGAAGAATTCGTACACATTTTATTTGGACGTAAACACCCGGACATAGAGGACGACAAACTTTTTCGGATGATGGCAGCTCGGTTCTATCAACAGACGACAGGATGTAAAACATACATCTTGACGCGATAGCGTACGCGATGAATCTTTAACCCAAACCAGAGACTTTGCAAAATATCTATTTTTCTCTTTTATTTTTTTGCAATTATTTGTATCTCTATTTAAAGAGGAATTAAAGAATGAATGAATGGAGGTCGACCAGCGTCTGTTCGCCTAACACTTAGCAGCGGTATTCGTAAGTAGATGTAATACATTGTTAACGTTGTAAAATTCATAACCCGGATGTATTATCACCAAAATGTAGATGCAAACTCTGCGTTAGGTTTTATCCTCTCAACAATACCCAGATAAGATACGGACGGACTAACCCATACTGGTCTTAACACAAAGAAGTAACTTGTTAATGCTCAATTATAATACATCAAGTTATGTATGTCTTTGCCGAGTGAAAAATATAACATTATGCTGTTTGTTTGTTTGTTTAATTTTGTTTAACGTCCTTTTAACAGCTAAAGTCATTTAAGGACGGCCTCCCCTGTGTGCAAGATGCATGCGTGTCGTGTATGTGTGTGTATTTTGGGAGGCTGCTATATGTATCTCTGTTGATCATTGTTCTGTAGTAAAACCTTTATTTATTTGTGGTTTTCATGACTTGACTTAAAAAAACATCCAGTGCTGTTAACTAACTATTTATCTACTGTGTCTCAATCGCCTGTGGCAAGTCAAGTGACATATCCGGTGCTGGAGTAGCTAATCGCTCCGGCAGACTCAGCGTGGTCCTTAACTTTATTTACTCGTGTGTTTCATTTATTTCATTATCTTAGCTATACATTTGTTCCTCTGGCGGCATCGTCGGCTCTACGTGTTTGATGTTCGGTATGTTGACGCTGTGATATATCTATGCACTAGCACCATTACAACGCGTGTATTTCTAATTAACTTTATTCACACTTTCAATAAAATTCATCAGTTTGGAAATAAGTTATATATCAAAATTATACTTTATACACAAACAATGTACGTAGCAAATGTGTCGCAACGTTTCAAGACAGACTGGTAGGGAGTCCAGCTAGGACTGAGTTAGCGATTTTAATTGTTTATCTGTACAAACGAAATTGTATGTTTCATATGATTCGACACAGTGTGTATATAATCTCTATTGGTAGGCGAAACTACAGGTGACATAAAATAATATAATATATAAGTTGTTAATACTAATCAACCTAAAACACAACTCCAAAACGTCTAGATATTTTCAATGAGATATAAATAGCCGGATCCCTGGTAAATTTATAAAGAACTGTGAGTTTAAACATGATCTTAATGTTTCTATTATCATCGTTGTGTATATCATTGCAGCGTGTGATCGATGTGCCAGTGATTATGTGTTTTAATTCATTTCATAGGAGTTTTAGTCCCACATATGGTAAATACAACACATCAATTAGAACTCCTGTGTTCGGGTTTTACTACTGTCTAATATACACTACAATAGAAACAGCATCGGTATGGTATTTCAGTGAGATAGCACTTTAAAGTCGGCATCAAATCAAAAATGCACCAACATACCCTGTATCCGGCTTACATACACGCATGCATGCATACACAGCACACATGGAGGAACGTCCTTAAATGACTAGCTGTTAATAGGACGTTAAATAAAATAAAACTAAACCAAACCAATCAACATGGCCTTAGATCTGGAACAGGTACTGACGATCAATACTTAGATTTGTATTGTACTAGGCTTTTCTAAAGATGTAACATTTCGTGAACAGACTCATTACACAACGTGGTAAGACGGTTTTGTTAAAGAATGGAACGGACTTAGTACGTGGTGAAATAATTCTTTTTTTTTGTTTTGTTTGTATCAGGTTTAACATCCTCGCAACGTCTAATGTCACACGAAGACGGTTGTCTAGTCGAAAAGGAAAGTAGAGAAATGTAGGAGAGAGAAAAATATATTAATAGTGTTACAATAGGGACTGCCGGTAAATTTTGGTCTCTCCGATGTCTCTTAAGAAGAGGAATAAAAAAACAGCTGTGAAGGGGGTTCGCCTTTTACCGTATGTAGTGGGATACAATAGGTCTAGTTCACCTCGAACCACCAGGGAGAAGAGTGTCGTTGAACAGGAGATACATGTATGTTACCAGATTTCATTTTAAGCTTGGAGACTTTAACTTACCACACAAAGACTGGCAAAAGAACAAAAAACTTCCCGTACACCTTCTGGACATCATAGACAACAACTGCCTCACACAAATAACGACAAAGCCCACCAGAGGAAACCATATACCCGACCTGACACTTACAAACAGACCATCAATCATTAACAAGACTGAAACCACACCACCCATAGGCAAATCCGACCATGACATAGTCTACACTGAATTTGACGTTCGACTGAAAAGAAAAAGAATAGAACCTGACAACATGTACCTCTACAACAAAGCTATCTGGAAGAACATTAGAAACGATCTCACACTTCTAAACACAAACCTTAACGAACGAACTAACCAAACCACAGAAAATCTTTGGACCATGTTCAAAACAACACTTAATAACAAACAGACATACATCATCACAATGGACTTTGCCAAAGACTTTGACAAAGTCCCACACAAATGATTACAATACAAACTCAAATATAATGGGATGATAGAGAACACACACGCAAGCATTACAGACTTCCTCTCACTCCGCACTCAGTAGTACTTTAGGACAAACAACCAAATAAAGTACAAGTCACCTCTAAGATCCCCCAAGGAACCTGTTTGGGCCCCATCCTTTTCCTTATCTACATCAATGATTTCCATGAATACATGCAATACAGCCCACTGATACTTTTTGCAGACGACAGCATCATATACAAGACGATAAACAACAAAGAAGGCACACGAAAACTACAACATGACCTTGATGCAGCAGGACAATGGGAGACGGACTGGCTTGTGAAATTTCACCCCGACAAATGCAACATACTCAACAATACACCGAAACGCAACACAATACACTATGACTACAAACTCAACAAGCACACATTACACCAAGAAGAATTCAGCAAATATCTAGGCTTAACTTAACAACAACAAATTACGATCGGACATATTTTTGAATTTTTATTTGCGTCGTTTTCAACTCGAGTGTCTGTATTCCTATGTTTTTCGCTGCCTATGCGTTGTCCTTTGTTATCACATCCCATCTAATCAACCCTATTGAATGTCATACGTACGCCAAACAATGTGTTATTAACGTCTCGTTCTTATGCTGGCATGCGGTGTCGAGGTAAACACAACACGAACATCAACAGACTACGGATATATTGGATCATTGCCACCTACTGGACAGCGATACCCCGTGAATTACACCATACACCCGAAGTTGTTACTAATAATAGAAACGATTCTTCCAGAGACGTTACCATTAGGTACACCTTTTCATAGATTGGAATTTTCAGACAAGTCACAACGCACTTAGGTAAAAACCAGGTAATGTACTATGAAACAGAAATATTATTATTAATATTAATATTATATTCTTAACGGTCCATCAACACATACTAGTAAGAGGTCATTAGGGCCAATAAAAGTAAACAAAACATGTTAAAGAAAAAAACATCAAACGAACGAAAAGGTAAAAGACAAACGTCAATTTAAATACACTGTAAAAGTGGCTTTGATTTAGTTATGTCTTTCTTCTTATGTTCTTCTATTTCTTGTATAAGGAAATATATATCACGGATCTGTTTCAGACCACTAAATACGACTTTAAACTGTGCAGCAGTGTATGGACTATCACAAGCGTAACATATATATGTTGTGTGCGTGATCACCAGTCTATGACACGAACACCAGTTGTAGCGTACTCATTAATGACGTACTCTTCCTTCCACGCTATACAGCTCCTAAAATAGTCAAGTAACATGAAAACGGGCGCTACTGAACTACATAAGTAAATATATACTTCGTTTATGCATATAAGAACAACTGTTTAGAATGAATATGAACGACCTGCTCGCAAAACATAAGTGGGACACACAGACAGTAACGGGTCAGTAATATTTCCCAGTCACGTCGTGTTTACATTGTATTACATCTCTGTCATCAATAAGGTTGGCCTACATTTTTAAAACGAAAGTAGGTTTTCCAATCTGATTTCCAGTGGTGATTGTCCAACAGTTTTTATGTGACGAAGTCATATACAACATTGCTGTTGAAACTGGAGAGAGATTGTTCTACGTTAGTTTTGGTAGAGGTAAGATTTTACTACGTTAGTTTTGGTACAGGTAAGATTTTACTACGTTAGTTTTGGTAGAGGTCAGATTTACTATGTTAGTCTTGGTACAGGTGAGATTTTACTTCGTTAGTTTTGATACAGGTGAGATTTTACTACGTTAGTTTTGGTAGAGGTCAGATTCACTACGTTAGGTTTGGTAGAGGTCAGATTCACTACGTTAGTTTTGATACAGGTCAGATTTTACTTCGTTAGTTTTGATACAGGTCAGATTCACTACGTTAGGTTTGGTAGAGGTCAGATTTACTACGTTAGTTTTGATACAGGTCAGATTTTACTACGTTAGTTTTTTTAAAGGTCAGATTTACTACGTTAGGTTTGATACAGGTCAGATTCACTACGTTAGTTTTGGTACAGGTGAGATTCACTACGTTAGTTTTGGTACAGGTGAGATGTTACTACGTTAGTTTTGGTACAGGCATATATAAGATTTTACTACGTTGGTTTTGGTACAGGTATATATAAGATTTGACTACGTTTGTTTTGGTACAGGTCAGATTTTACTACGTTTGTTTTGGTACATGTATATATAAGATTTACTACGTTAGTTTTGATCCAGGTCAGATTTAACTACGTTAGTTTTGGTACAGATGAGATTTTACTACGTTAGTTTATGTACAGGTCAGATTCACTACGTTAGGTTTGGTACAGGTGAGATTTTACTTCGTTAGTTTTGATACAGGTCAGATTTAACTACGTTAGTTTTGGTACAGATGAGATTTTACTACGTTAGTTTTGATACAGGTCAGATTCACTACGTTAGGTTTGGTAAAGGTCAGGTTCACGACGTTAGTTTTGGTAGCTGTCAGATTTACTACGTCAGTTTTGATATAGGTCAGATTCACTACGTTAGGTTTGGTACAGGTGAGATTTTACTTCGTTAGTTTTGGTACAGGTATATATAAGATTTACTACGTTAGTTTTGATCCAGGTCAGATTTAACTACGTTAGTTTTGGTACAGGCATATATAAGATTTTACTACGTTAGTTCTGGTACAGGTCAGATTTTACTACGCTAGTTTTGGTACAGGTCAGATTCACTACGTTAGTTTTGATACAGGTCAGATTCACTACGTTAGGTTTGGTAAAGGTCAGTTTCACGACGTTAGTTTTGGTAGCTGTCAGATTTACTACGTCAGTTTTGATATAGGTCAGATTCACTACGTTAGGTTTGGTAGATGTCAGATTTACTCCGTCAGTTTTGATATAGGTCAGATTCAGGTAAGATTTTACTACGTTAGTTCTGGTACAGGTCAGATTTTACTACGGTAGTTTTGGTACGGGGATATATAAGATTTTACTACGTTGGTTTTGGTACAGGTATATATAAGATTTACTACGTTAGTTTTGGTATACGTGAGATGTAACATATACGTTAGTTTTGGTAGATGTCAGATTTACTACGTCAGTTTTGATATAGGTCAGATTCACTACGTTAGGTTTGGTAAAGGTCAGATTCACGACGTTAGTTTTGGTAGATGTCAGATTTACTACGTCAGTTTTGATATAGGTCAGATTCACTACGTTAGGTTTGGTACAGGATTTTACATCATCAGTGTTTATGATGATGTTTTTTGGAAGTTTTATTACTTAAATGTTAAATCAACCAGAAAATATACATATAAATGTGCTTAAGTTCAATGTATTTACTTTTAAATCAGACAAACTAATAGTAGATTATACTTTGGAAATAAAATTTCCAATGTGATAGAATTATTTGAAACACACACCCGATATAGCACTACATTAACTGGCCTATTTTATTTAGTAAACATAACTTATATATTCTGTAACGTTAACACATTATAAAACCATTACTGTTTCTATATAGAACGTTGAAAGACATACATTCTGGTTTCTTTCAAGACATACTATTTATGAACATCATCTTCATTTGACCCGAGTGGTTGCGCGGACCTGCAACCAGAAATATTATTATTTGAATCTTAACGGCCCATCAACACAAAAGAGGTTCATCACAAAACATTTAACCTGTTTTTCATGCTCTATTATTCGCAGATAAAGAAACAGTTTCGCACGAAGAAGGCTTCTACTCTATGAACTGTCACCACGATTCATTTCCTGGATAAACAGACGTGTTTGTACCTAAGAGTGAGTTAAGGAGGACGATATAACAGCCAAAACAGTAATATTCCCGATATGAGTGGTCACATTGTAAGTGAACATCAAATAGCACACACCAGGTACAGTATATTCATACTCCGTGTATTCATCTCATTAACTGTCTCAAATAAACTGGTAATTTTATCAAGTCCACTGATATTTAATATTTACTAAATATGACACCCTACAGGTGTACAATAAGAAGATCGTAATATTTAACTTCCTACTGACAGTTGCTGCAATTCTGATACTGCAATGTCATCAGTTAATTTACATGAGACACAACAACTGTTGTTACAGATGAACACATACTTAAATAGTAGTTCCACGTTTCTTTTCATTGATTTGTCCGAACAGTCTGTTTGTCTGTATTGGGGTATAATGTCATCACAACAGCTAAATAGGAAGTCAGAAAAAAATCAGATGTAGATCACAAATGCTGCAATGGCAGCAGGAGATCAATTTTAGTTTCATTGTCTCATATAATCTATCTGGTAATACTGTACTGACAACAAGTAGACCAAACGTTAAGCAGGAAAGGCAATCTATCATTTTAAAAGACTTTTGAATGCCACAGTCTTGTGACAGATTCCATTGCCTTCTGCTCCTTTCCGAATATTCTGTTAGGAAATAGAGACAAAGATACCTTAAATTCTGATATAAAGAACATTTTCTTGCAGACAAAAAGAAAATATGTGTGGAACCTTTTTTTTATCAACTGTACACATCAACTTGATTTTTTTATCACATCTTACCAATCATTAAAATATCTTTTCTTATGTTTTTCACAAAGTTCGGTTTTATTTGTTGGGTTCATTTTGTTTAGTGACTATGAATTCTGCAGAAGGTTCACGCATTAGGTGCCTCTTACAAAATGCGGTGGGTAACAACAGGTATAATGTTGTCTCTCTCTCAGACTTACAGGGGTGAGTTTATCACAATAAGACAGGAACTATAAATGCCTCAACGAAGGAAACATTAAAACGAAAGTAGGTAAAATCAAACACGGTTGGTATGGAGAAACACTAAATCAGGAAATACATAACACTCAAACAAAAACATGAAAATGAATTAGTTCACTTAAAAAAAACACGAACTAATAAACTAAAATCGAGAGCTAATTAAACTAAATATGCACGATAGGAAGACGTCATGATGCATTTCTGTTAGCCAAATTGCACAAAAACAATAAAACATATTACACACTAAATAATAAGATGTAGAGACCACAAAAAGCAGCAGGGAGAAGGATGGGTTTGTTTTTATTTTCATTAACGTCCTATTAACAGCTTAGGTCATTTAAGGACGTGCATCCATGTATGTTCTGTATAAATACATTTGTGAATGCGACCCCGGGAAAAAAGGTATGTTTGTGTATTTGCCTCCTTCTGAAAGTGCGGATCTTATGCCGACTTTATAGTGCTATCTCACTGAAATGCCATGCCGAAGGCACCCAACATAGCTTTTCGCCCAGCTACATTATACTTACTACGGGTAAACAAAATGTTGATTTAACTCTAAATGTCGGACGTTAAGAAGGGAATAACACCTTATATAGAGGGTCAATGTAAGCAGACATGGTAAACAGGTGGTGATTTCAAACGTACTTTAAATATTTTCTGTGAGGTAAACAGGATAACTTTAAAATATCACCGAGGAATCCGATTGGAAGACGGACATACAGTGTTTTATGTTTTGAAAATGTATGGCATGTTATCCCTTTTAAGACACGCGTATTGACCTATAGTTTAAAACGAAAGTAGGTTTTCCCGTCTGATCTCCGGAAGTGGATGTATCACGAAGGTGTATACAGCGTTGCTGTTGATATATTACTTCACTTATGCTGGTACAGGTGAGACTTTACTAGGTACGTGTTGATTATTGTGAATTAGTATAACAGAAATGTTGCTAACAATGAAATTTTACCAGATAAGTGTTGATTATTGTGAATTTGTATCATAGAATTGTTGTTTACCGTGTACTTTTACAGTTTCAGTTTGGTACTGGTGAGATTTTACTACAATGAGTGACGATCTATGAGATTTTCGGTAGTTGATATTTCTCATGTGTTGTTTTTACATAGGCATGATTAAATGTCTTCGAATTAAATTTGGACAAGCTTGGTGGATTATGAGAAAGTAACGTCGGAAATTGATTTTCCGTCTAGTTTAAACTGTTCTTAACACAATCCAATTACAGCAGTAAGTCAGTAGCTAACCTATTACAGGTAGGTGTAGTAAACATGACACAGATTCTGTAACGTTACACGTTTCTAGTATCGCTACAATCAAAATATAGAATTATAGAAGTTTTTGAATCTGTTTTCGGTTTCAACAAATTGATTTTTTTTTTACTTTATTGCAATTGATTTTATGTTATCTGATTTGGGTTGGAAATCAGGCCGGTTTACGTCCTTTACAAACCAAACATAGATGCCGTTAGAGCGATCCACGTCAACAGTGTAGGGGACACAACTCCACCTTAATTTTGTCAATAAATCGCGTAAACTTCACGGGGTACAGATCATAAAGTGCTGGTGTAGAATATATGTTTGGGCTTAAACGTAACCGTAAAGATACCAAGAACTACCTACTATGTATTATTACATAGATTTTTATCGAAAGAACTCGTTGTTATTTGGGTTTTTTTCAGGTTTGTTATTCAAATACTACTTAATCATATCAAGCGAGTCTCATTATGAAAAAAGTCGGATTTGGCCGATATATATTCATAAAAATGAATAAATTTAAGATAATTATCGGGATTTCTACCTGTCTGACCAACGTTTTGTTCAAGGATTTCCCTCTACTAGCGCATGCGCATAGCACACCATTTCATTGTTTAGCGAGTGAAAATAGTGACCATGTCACCTACGAAGCAAAAAATTGCCAAATAGTCAAAAGATAGCGCAAGGATTACATTACGGAAGCATTATTGCAGGTGGGAAGTATTTAAAGGAGAAAATAACTGCCCTAGCAGTTAGTACGGTATAAAGCTGAAATGGAATCGACAGAAACGATGTTTATGTTATGAATAAATATCTAAAAATATTAACCTCGCTAGTATCCTTGTTTAAGTTGGAACACAGCTGAACTTATGTTGTTATGTTAATGGGCATGTGTCGGAGAGAGTTTACTTGGTGTTTCTATATCCAGTGGTTTATGTGACTGGAAGGAAAAAGTGACTGGTTAGTTTGATTTTGATATGGGGCCCTCCAAGGGGTAACTGTACGTGTTGTGATGTCCTTTCCGCTGTCGGAACTCGGGGTCAAATGAGATACGTAGCGTGCGCATAAGGTTTACATAATTTACAATATTCCAGGGTTCGGTAAAATGGTATGATTTTTTAATCGTAATGTTTCAACAAACAACTTTTGTCTATACATAACTAATTTTCGACTTCAGATATAATCCAAATATACATTGAACACGGGTAAAAGTCATTTGTTTACGTTATAAAAATGAGGCGTGCTACCGATAACTACGGCTTCTGTTTCGGAAAAAAGGAACGATTAAAGAAAAGTTATCTCAACATAAAAAGGGTCCATTAACAAGTATGCTTTAATATCTGTAAAGTATTGAAAACATAATTATCAAGTATGTCAACACGTTCCATATCTGACATATATTCACATGTACACGTAGTGGTTTTGCCAGACATGTTTAGTGTGTGTGATGGCTTATACGACATACTAAGTGTTAACGTATGAAGACGGTAAAAGTGGGAAGGAGAGTATATACATGGATATATATAAATATGCATGGTCTAGAAAAAAGTGGCCAAAGACATTGAGTCTTAATAAAACAAATCAAAAACATTTATCTTTTTTGTTTTTATACTTGTCAATGCATATGTACACGTTGTGAAAACATTTTGTTTTTTAAATATGATTTTCGTCTCGTGAATACACTTTTTACACACTTTTTACAGAAAGGTTTGTCCCACGGTTGAGGGAAGGTGTTCAGCCCCATATCCATTTGTACCGGTCACATTCCGGTAATATATATTTCCTGGTGTCTATAAATAATGGCGAGAGGCCTACACATATTTATACATTTTAAATTTGAGTAATGGCATATGTGTAATTAACTTCTGATGATGAATAATAACTGCTAAGGGGATTCAAAAGGTTTCAACACTGATTTGGAAAACTTGGCATCTCGGTCAGACCACCTGTGTTTACTGCCTCGTTTCACAACCGTAACGTTATTGACACTATTTTTAACACGGCATTCCCGAACAATTCAAGTGGTCAAACTGGACATTTGGAACGGACTGTGAATATGGGGATAGCAAGTTAACATAAGTAGAAGTGCATTTAACACATACATTCATTAAAAATATGTGGCTCTTCAAGTGATGTCCCTTTCATTCCTGGAGTTCATTTTCTCAGAAATATCAAGTAACTGTATTGTTGATTTTTCTCAAAGTTTATTATTACTATTTAGTTCTTAACGGTCCATCAACGGACGACATGTCATTAGGACCAATTAAGGGTAAAAAACAACATGTAAAGTCAATCATATCAAACAAATGTAAAGGTTAACTTAAAAGTAAACATTGCTATGCTTAGTTTTATATTTTTGAACAAACCAACAGTTTTTAGGGTGGTATGAATGGTAGAGATACAAGTATTTACTGTGTCAAAAAGTGATTCAATATTTGTTATACTATTAAAGATTTTTTTTTGTTTGGTGAAGGTTAATGCAATCTAACAAGTGTACAAGTAACTATAAAATAACAGAACGGAATATAGAGAAACTAATTAAGGTTTTCTATCTAGCCGTGTCAGAATATACCAGGAGTTTACTTTTATTAGTTCATGTAAATAGTTTTAATGTTTTACGTCCTATTAAAAACGTAAGTCGCTTTGGAACGTATCTCCATGTATATAATGTATGCATGCATGTGTGTATGTGTTCTTGCGGAAGGGTGTACTTACCTCCATGAGATAGTGCGGATCATATGCTGACACTTAAGAGTGTTATCTCACTGAAATACCAATCAGTCTTCATCATATAAACTTGAGTTGTTGTAAAACCGTCATATACATTTTGTGGTACTGTATCATTTACATGCAACAATCAAACATACAACCATCAGCGCTATTGTGTGGTACTGTATCATTTACATACAACAATCAAACATACAGCCATCAAATTTATTGTGTGGTACTGTATCATTTACATGCAACAATCAAACATACAGCCATCAGATCTATTGTGTGGTACTGTATCATTTACATACAACAATAAAATATACAGACATCAGATCTAGTGTGCGGTACTTTATCATTTACATACAACATTCAAACATATAGCCATCAGATCTATTGTATGGGACTATATCATTTACATACAACAATCAAACATTTTATGTATGGTACTTTATCATTTACATACAACAATCAAACACACAGCCATCAGATCTATTGTGTCGTACTTTATCATTTACATACAACATTCAAACATAGAGCCACCAGATCTATATGCTGTTACTGTATCATTTACATAAAACAATCAAACATACAGTCATCATATCTATTGTGTTACTGTATCATTTACATACAACATTCAAACATAGAGCCACCAGATCTATATGCTGTTACTGTATCATTTACATACAGACATCAGACATACAGAAACCAGCTCTATTGTGTGGTACTGTATCATTGACATACAACAATAAAGCATACAGCCACCAGATCTATTGTGTGTTACTGTATCATTTCCATACAACAATCAAATATACAGCCATCAGATCTAGTGTGTGGTACTGTATCATTTAAATACAAAAATAAAAAATACAGCCATCAGATCTATCGTGTGGTACTGTATCATTTACCAACACAATCACACACAGCCATCAGATCTATTGTATGGTACTTTATCATTTACATACAACATTCAAACATACAGCCATCAAATTTATTGTGTGGTACTGTATCATTGACATACAACAAGCAAACATACAACCACCAGATCTATTGTGTGTTACTGTATCATTTCCATACAACAATCAAACATACAGCCAACAGATCTATTGGATGTTACTGTATCATTTAAATACAAAAATAAAAAATACAGCCATCAGATCTATTGTGTCGTACTTTATCATTTACATACAACATTCAAACATACAGCCATCAAATTTATTGTGTGGTACTGTATCATTAACATGCAACAATCAAACATACAGCCAACAGATCTATTTTGTGGAGATCTAGTATGTTGTACTGTATCATTTACCAACACAATCACACACAGCCATCAGATCTATTGTATGGTACTGAATCATTTACATACAACAATCAAACATACAGTTATCATATCTATTGTGTTACTGTATCATTTACATAAAACAATCAAACATACAGGCATCATATCTATTGTGTTACTGTATCATTTACATAAAACAATAAAACATACAGACATCAGATCTAGTGTGTGGTACTGTATCATTTAAATACAAAAATAAAAAATACAGCCATCAGATCTATTGTGTGGTACTGTATCATTTATCAACACAATCAAACATACAGCCATCAGATCTATTGTATGGTACTATATCATTTACATACAACAATCAAATATACAGACATCAGATCTAGTGTGTGGTACTTTATCATTTACATACAACAATCAAACATACAGCCATCAGATCTATTGTATGGTACTTTATCATTTACATACAACAATCAAACATACAGCCTTCATATCTATTGTGTGGTACGGTAACATTTACCAACGCAATCAAACATACAGACATCAGATCTGTTGTATGGTACTGTATCATTTACATACAACAATCAAATATACAGCCTTCATATCTATTGTGTGGTACGGTAACATTTACCAACGCAATCAAACATACACACATCAGATCTGTTGTATGGTACTGTATCATTTACATACAACAATCAAACATACAGCCATCAGATCTATTGTGTGGTACTGTATCATTTACATACAACAATCAAACATACAGTCATCAGATCTATTGTGTGGTACTGTATCATTTACATACAACAATGAAACATACAGCCATCAGATCTAGTGTGTGGTTCTTTATATTTACATACAACAATCAAACATAGAGGCATCATATATATTATGTCGTACTGTATCATTTACATACAACATTCAAACATATAGCCATCAGATCTATTGTATGGAACTGTATCATTGACATACAACAATCAAACATACATCCATCATATATATTGTGTGGTACTGTATCATTAACATACAACAATCAAATATACAGAAATCAGATCTAGTGTGTGGTACTTTATCATTTACATATCTAGTGTGTGGTACTTTATATTTGCATACAACAATCAAACATACAGCCATCAGATCTATTGTATGGTACAGTATCATCGACATACAACAATCAAACATACAGTCATCATATCTATTGTGTTACTGTATCATTTACATACAGACATCAGACATACAGACATCAGATCTATTGTGTGGTACTGTATCATTAACATACAACAATCAAATATACAGACATCAGATCTAGTGTGTGGTACTGTATCATTTACCAACACAATCAAACATACAGCCATCAGATCTATTGTATGGTACTGTATCATTTACATAAAACAATCAAACATACAGTCATCATATCTATTGTGTTACTGTATCATTTACATACAACAATCAAATATACAGCCATCAGATCTAGTGTGTGGTACTGTATCATTTAAATACAAAAATAAAACATTCAGCCATCAGATCTATTGTGCCTTACTGTATCATTTACATACAGACATCAGACATACAGACACCAGCTCTATTGTGTGGTACTGTATCATTTAAATACAACAATCAAACATACAGCCAACAGATCTATTGTATGTTACTGTATCATTTACATACAACAATCAAACATACAGCCATCATATCTATTGTATGGTTCTGTATCATTTACATACAACAATCAAACATACAGCCAACAGATCTATTTTGTGGTACTGTATCATTTACATACAGATATCAGACATACAAACATCAGATCTATTGTGTGGTACTGTATCATTAAGATACAACAATCACACAAACAGCCAACAGATCTATTATGTCGTACTGTATCATTTAAAAACAACAATCAAACATTCATCCATCAGATTTATTGTGTGGTACTGTATCATTTATATACAACAATCAAACATACAGCCATCATATCTATTGTGTGTTACTGTTTCATTTACATACAACAATCAAACATTTTATGTCAAACTTTGTCATTAACAGGTGTTGAAAAGTTGTACAAGCAAACAGAAGACGTTTACGGTGTGAACTATCACGTCGCACTTCCGACTGGACAAACCTTCACAGGGTCGATATAACAGAGAAGACAAGAATATCCCCGACACAAGTGGTCAACTTGATAGAGAACAGCAAATAACAAATATCAGGTACAGTGTAGTGACTTCTACATATTCCCTCTTTATGTGTCTTAATATACAGCTATTACGTACTTTTATGATAGTAGGTCTATATGTACAAGGAATAAGATTATTTTACTATAATAACCACGGATATTTTAAGTAAAGCACATGCTTATATGTATTCATTTAATTTATACAAGAAATACCTTCTATTTTTGCCAACTCACTTATTTTGTAGTGATATTTCAACATGTCATAATTTATAATGGATACATTTTCTCCGAATAGTCTTTGTGACATGATGAATCTAAAAAGTAATTATATACATCATCGTGACATGTGTGATATTGTGCGTCTATAGACAAATCATCTAAAGGACATAGTATTAAGGAGAGGTAGAGAAGAAAAGATAACTATCTCAGATTTTGTCAATGTAGACAGCATATCAGTTTCGGTTTCTTGGATGTTTTTGCAGTGAAAAACACCGATACTGCCACTAGATTCTGCGCGATAGGGGTGCGCATTAGTCGCCTCATACGACACGCATATAGTCGTATCTATTATTTCGTTAACTAGTCAGATCTACATATTTCCAAACAGCAACACTTTCCAAAGTCTGGAATATTTCAAAATACAGAGGACACATTAAAACTTATATGAATGCATTTATCTTACAGGTTCAAAAATGAGTGGTGCCGGAGAAACGGAGGAAAAGGCGAAACAACGTTATATCGAGCTCAAGAACAATCTATCAATCAACTTTATAGCTGAAAATGTGGGGAACAATCTACTTGCTTTCAGAGAAGAATGTGCAGCATATTTTAAAGGCCCAGGGAAGTACATGAATCTTAATTTCTACACCATATGTAGAAATTTGGAGATTGAGGATATACTTTCCTACAGAAATCTTACTGTTTTGAAGGAAATTGTGGAGCAATTACCTATAGCATCGGCTACCATGGTGGACGAGGTGAATGCTGCTCAAACAGACATCAACGCCATTTTGTCAGGTAGAGTATAACACGTACACAAATAAAATGGAAAAGTTTAATATCGACTCCTGTCCGTTTGAGTGTGTCATACGAAGACTAAGAGAAATATTCTACCAGACGATATCAATAGTCTTAAGGATATCTCGAACGTTTCTCGTTCAAGTTAGACCTGTGATTTTATTGTGCAATCTAATTTTACTGCACATATATTTACGGTAATTTTAACAGGTATCGAAATGAAGCATTTTCCTTCTTTTTAGGGCTGTTTTAAACTCGCCGACTACTTAACGAAATGTTTTTCAATTAAAACAAAATGTATATATATATTCATATTTTTGCCGATATAATTTCTCTAGAGTTATCAACTGAAATAAATCACTGATAATAGGGATTTGTTTATCCAGCACTTTTACTGTGGCTTCTTGCATTCTAATTTGAAGGTAACCACACGATATTATTTCCAGGCTTTCTTCGTTATATGTAAGAATTGTCACCCTTGTATAACTGTAAATAGCTAAATGTTGGTAAAGTATCGTACCTTGCGTCACCAAATGTGTATGTTGTGTTGTCGCCAATAATTGATCATTCTTCACTACAAAATGTTTTCATTGGTTACTTTTTTGAAATTATCTTTAAGGAGACGAAGGTTCATTGTAAACCTCAGTGTAAACATTATTATATTTCATTGCAGTTTGATTGTCGAAGATATTTCATGATAATATGTTGTCACGCTTCAGATGACAAATGACGAAGAATTATGTTCAGAACATGTAAATATTTTGTTATTTAATTATAATTCATATCAGTATATTTGAAATGTCGCTTGAACACGTTTTAACCAATAACGTCATTGTTATCACTGCAGACAGGGCAGCACAACCTCCAACAGGCACGCACAACGCCTTGATGCCAACAAGGACAGCAACCAACCCCACAGGTAGTATTTTATCACTAACCATCATCCCTGACCAAAATAGGTTTTATTGTTCAGTATCTTACTGTGACAAACTAGAACAAATATTATCAGACCTGTTTTTTCTCTGCTGTATTGCTTTAAAATTGCAACGGAAATGCTATTTAATAACTCTTTAAAACTGTTTTTCTTACGAAATTTATGTAATTAGGTTTGATTATTTGTATATTGTGTGTTTCCAGCTAAGTACATGTACCGAGGTGTGCTCTTTAATACGATGTACAAGTATTTCAAGGCGTTGTGTATACTGTAAAGGGCCCTAGTGATGTTTTTTATGCGAGTTTGCATGTTTTTGTTTCAAGTATATTTGTTATATAACATTATAATGTTGTAGACCCTGGTAAGGGTTTCCATTAAAAAAAATCCAATGTTGTCAGCTGCGACGATTTGGAGACTATCATTATTCCAAAAAGCAGGAACTCTGTTGGCTTCATAAAAGTGGACGGCGTGTGTGGTACAGGGTTCCGTGTAGGCGACTGCTATATTATGACCGCCTACCACGTGTTCAAGGACAAGTTTAGTGAGCATTTTCCTGTTTGCATTTTTTCTCTATATTTAAATCAGGAACAAAACTCAAAGCATAAAATAGAATTCTCTGATGGTTCATTAAGACACATTGTGTCATTTTGTCAGATTATCTTGCTCTCGATCTGATGTGAATTCCTTATAACAATTATCTCAATAATTCACTAAGACACATCGTGTCATATATCACAATAAGAGGCCCATGGGCCTTAACGGTCACCTACTATATTTATACAGAGAGTTGATTTTGTTTCTAAAACGAACAGAAATATTATTCAAAGTGACGAAAACCAATAAAGTCACCTTATTCAATATCTAACATACAGATTTAAGACTAAAAAGTATTTGAAACTAGCACCTCTGATTCTAAACAAGTAAAATGAAGATTGTTGCACACTGATTCCTTGGGCCCCACCCTACAGCCCTTGCATGTAGAGCTTGCTCAAAACTTTCCAAGTATCAGACTGTCAACTCAGGGTTATAATTCCAATCAAGTTATTAACATGTGATATTAAAAGTATCATTTGCCATTATAAACCATCATAAATTTTGCCCCCCTTCCTTCCCCAGGGGGTAAATATGAGACCCTAGGGTCATTAACCTGTAGACCTTCCATTTGTGAAGAGTGTTTGATTCTACCATATCTGTGTCTGGAGAAGACTATTTTTGAAATAACAGTCAATTCAACCCTTTTTGGCCCCAACCATCAGGGCTCATATGTCACACCATCAACCTGCTACCAAATACTGATAATGCTAACCTAAATTGAATTACTTCCAATGGCAATGAACTATTGTTATCCAAAATGTGATTTCCCTATATAAACTATAGTAAAGTTTACCCCCTCCCCAGGGGTTAACGTGATACCCCAGGGTCATAAAATTCACAATTTTGGTAGAACACTTTAAGACCCTTCCATCTATGAAGAGTTTTTGATTATACCATTCTTGTGTCTTGAGAAGAAGATTTTTGAAATTTCAGTCAATTCGACCCTTTTTCGCTCCATCCATCAGCCCCGGGCGCTCAGTCAGGGCTCATTTGTGCATACCATCAAACTGCTACCCAATACTGATAATGCTAACCTAAATTGAGTTACCTCCAATGGCAATTAAACAAATGTTAGTCCAAAATGTGCTTTCCCAATATAAACTATAGTAAAGTTTTTCCCCTCCCCAGGGGGAAACGTGAGACCCAAGAGTCATGAAATTTACAATTTTGGTAAAACACCTTCAGACCCTTCTATCTATGAAGAGTATTTGATTCTACCATATCTGGGTCTTGAGAAGAAATTTATATAATACATATCCATAATATGCTGGTCTAGACCACGAGTGAATTATCATATTATAATATCAATAATATTTCATAATACTTAGATTGTGTTGGTCTTGACCGCGTGTAAACTCCTAACGAAGAATTATATAGGTCAAATGCGTGCATGACCAATTCCAATTAATAAATATTTTTGTAATTGTTTACAGAACTCCTGTGTGAAATGCTGACGGTTATGGTCGAACAGTCTTCAATAACGACCCCAAACTTACGGGGAAAACTCGCAAGACTTTCAAATCAGTTCAGTGAAAACAACAGGTTAAAAATAACAACCTGCGTGGAACAATTTCTAGAGCCAAACAAAAAGCAACTTCAGTTCGCCGAGCTTGCAGGCCTTTTGGGCACGTCATTCCTTGGTAAGACCACTATTTTCACATGCTTAAAAACTTTATATAGTATATATTGTTTCATTTTGACGATTTCAACTGGATGTCCTTGAAAAAGTTATGGGTTTAAGATTGGACCAACATCGTTATCTATAACATGATTCCAAGAGGGCTTGTATCGCTCTAGATATACTAGATATTTCAACAATCATGGCACTGCAAATATTATACTCTATAAGTATACTCTATTGTTAAATTTGCTTTAGATCTTTTCTTCTGCATTAAACAACAAAGGATTTTAAGATTAACTGTTTTGTGCCACATGCCCCTCTGCTCTAGAATGACCACACCATCAATTTATACAGAATTGAGTCCTCCTAGTCCAAGAATAGCTAGACAAAATATGGTTAAAATCCCTTCATTATTACAAAAGGAGAAGGATTTAGAGAATACCTATAATGAAAAATCACTCTTAAGTTCATAGTTAATGCATATTTATTCACTTCTGATAGCAAAATGGCGTATATACTAGATGGCAGATATGGGTCGAAAGTTGATCGATATTGGAAATATTGATGCTTTGGTTCACTGCCTATATTTAAAGTATATATTTAGCGTTGATACACCAGCCAGAATTTTGGAGGTAAAGGCGTTGTATGGGATTTGTTTTTACACGAAGGTATAGGATCTCAAAGTCTTAAATTCTGCTTTGTGACTTTATATTTCTTAAATAAACTGGCTGATTCTTTTCGAAGTCTGTAAGGCCGTGCAGCTATTAGTAGGAAATAATAAGTTATGGTTCGATAGCAATGTTTCTGTGGTGTTTCTTTAGGTAACTATCTGCTTATGAACTAAACTGTCGAGAAGACATTAAAAACTAAACATTTAAGTTAAAAATATTATAAAACACTATTCAGTCTTGTTTCCACTGCTTCCTTATGTCCACAGAGAAGATTGAAACCGGATGGAGCCTGAAAACAGGGATTGCTTTCAACATCGGGACAGAGGATGAGCTCCGATTTGGTTTTTGTTTAGATATACCATTCGCAGATAAGGACAATGATATTCTCATCATAACGCTACGCAACGACGGCAATACCAGAGTACCAAAGCCTCTTCATCTTGAGCAATTTAGCGTCAATAACGAAATGCATTTAATAGGATACCTCGGAACATCCGACCAAAGAAAAAGTCTCCATCTTAACATCAACTGTCAGGTGTACCGTGATGATAGACAGCTAGCAACAGACATCAACACAGCAATGCAATGGTGGAAAGAAAAACTACCTGATGCTAGTCTCGATCCCTGTCGCTATGACCCAGGAAAGGACGAAACACCCACCGGAAGGACTATACTACACGCCTCTAAAGAGTTCGAGCAACGGTCATCCGGGTGTCCCGCTGTAGTTATCGAGGATTACACGACGCGGCGACTCGTTGTGCAGCTGATGTATCTGTCTGGCTACCCAACCCGTCACTATGAAACCGGGAAGGTACATTCACCTTCTCTCGAGTATTGTTTCGAATCGGGAGTGTCAATGAAAAACATTGCTAAAATACTATTGGAAGCGGGTCAAGAAGAATTGAAGAAGGCTATCTTCAGTTAGAAACAATCAACATTGGATAACACGGAAACAATGATGCATAGATAATTCTGTCATATATACATGCGGTTTAACGCTTCAATCGAATAGGGAAAAAATAGCCCAGCTTTGAAACATCAGCTGTTAATAGGAAGTTAAACCAAACCAGGAAATATCATTATTCTCGCCCTATTCTTTTCGCAATGTTTTGTAGTAGTCCGTACGAGAACTGTGCAAGCTACAGTGAACTCATGCATGAATTGTGACATTGTGACATTGTATGACAGCACAATGAGTCTAGGCGGTTGACAGCATACAACATTTTAAACAGACATTATGTTATCCTTGTGCAGCAAAATATATTCTCAGTATGCTTTTTCAAATGTACATTTTTCATTCCTTTTTGTGATCTATCATGCCGTGTAAATGTAAATAGTTAAAGTAAGCACGATTAATGGAACTCAAACTTGTTAAATAAAATGGCGTCAATGGCAACAACGCGTGATACCAGTTCGATGTAAGATTGCCTACTTTTCAGAAAACGTTACCGCCATTGTTCTGTTCCCATGAAAATGGTCTTGTATACGGATCTACGGTATTTTCGTCGTTAGCCAAACATTGACGATTGTTTAAAGCGGCAGGAATCACAGTCCTGTTAACATTTTCCCATTATCTACATATATCGAACGTTTGTTACTAATAAAATAAGTTGATCCTAGAAGCGTGGCATGTAAATAATAATGTCTTTATGTAAAGAAACATACAACAGATTACATGATAGCTTAGATACAGTAGAACTGGTAAACGTATGACGTCATCGGAACGATAACATTTCTACGTGCATATTATTAATAAGAGTTCGGCAAGTGCTGATGTTGGTTTTTTGTTTGTTTGTATTTTGATATTAATAAAAGGGGTCAACGAATGTCAAATGTAATTCATATTGTTGATATTTATGATTTCGCATTGCCCATCAAACATTTTATGGTATTTACGGCCAATCGACACTAAACAAGATGTTCACAAAAGGAACATGTCAAATTCAAACTAAAAGATTAAATGTTCAAAAGACACAAAAACAAGAGGCACAATGGGCCTGAATCGCTCACCTGGTATTAATCTCACACTTGTAATCTTAAACGTGGACTAAAATACAGCTAGAGGCAGAATATCAGTGTTTGTTTCATAAGAACCTATTAAAAGATTTAAACATATGACGCCTGTGACCTTGTAAAAAAAGTCAAGAATGTCTCGGCCAATCCAATCGCACTCCATTGAGTAAGACGCACGAGGTTTGTTATTATCAAATCTACACCGAGTCATTTGGTGCAGTCATTCTGGGTTAAGATGTCAAAAATATCTCAACAAAACAGAGACTAGGAAGGCAATCTTGGATTTTTGGATCCGCACAAAATATAACATCACTTGTTTTCGAACTTCATAGGAATCCGTTGTACCAAGTAAGGCATCAATTGTTGCAGTAGTTCTTGAGGAGAAGTCAAAATGCCACAGCCAATCAGATGCTAGCACGGCAATCTTGGATATTTGGACTGCCACGAAAAATAACAACACTTGGTCAGGACATCATAAGGAATATTTGCACAAAGTAAATTTGTGGTTTCAATGGCTTGGTTTAGTTTGGTTTAATTTTGTTTAACGTCCTATTAATAGCTAAGGTCATTTAAGAACGTGCATGTGTGTAGTGTATGCGTGCTTGCGTGGTGTATGTATGCAGGAGACAGTGTATGTTGATGTGCTTGCCTCCTTGTGATAGCGCGGATCTGATGCCGACATAATATGGTTTGACACATCCAGTGAACATTTCAGCTAAAACGTCGATGTCAAATGATGATGTGACATAATAATAAAACATTGCTGTGACGTAATAATAATTCTCATATCATTATTGGATTCTCAATGCCGCAATATCACAGAATAGGTCACTAGGGCAAATAAAAAGCAGATACAACACGATAAATTACATCAAACGAAAAAAAACCGGTTAAAGACAAACACCAACTTGAAAAAAGAATAGTGGCTACGGTTAGTTATATCAGACCAATAATGTTTCAGAAGTTAAAATTGTAGAGATTTTTACTGTTTCGGAAAGAAATATATAAATACTTTCTTTGTTTTGCCTGAAGGTCAGGGTAATCTAATAACAAGTGTTTCATGAATTGCTATACATTTTGGCTGATCTTCGCGCTTCAATAAATAATAATGGGTTATGAATAACTCTTTCCGTAGCGTTGTCGTGTACACACGACAACAATATGTCATCCTGGTCCCCGTTGTCGTGTACAGACGGCAAAATAAAGGGCCGTCTAATCCTCGTTGTCGTGTACACACGGCAAGAGACTTTGAGGTAACCTGTCTGATGTTTAGTTGGTTATCGCACGAGACTGTCGCGAAAAAATAATTAATTGTCGCTAAAATCAGAACCCATCTGTTTAGAAGAAATAATTTTATTTGTGCAGAGTACACTTTTTTTTATTATGTAACTTAATGTTCTCGTATTTGCCGCAAGATGTTTGCATTTGGTGCCTCAAATGTTAACAAGATGGCCGCAACTTAATTTGATACGAACACTCGTAAATTCATCATCAGATATTTGTTGAGACTTATGGAAGTAAATTTGAATATTCTAATATAAGTCTTGATGAAATCTACTTGTATTTAGAAAAAAACTCAACGACTCCACATTCGTAACCATAATCAATCCCTATTGGAAACCTGCACTAAAACGCTGTGTTAAATACAAGGAATCGTATCGTTTATTGCCAGACAAATGTCGATTTCTCAAGTCATAAACAGCTGCCAGTTAGTCATTATGCTGCGAAAATGATTAAGTGTTTGTCTATGAACCAGAACATGAAACAATAACAATATTTGTTCACGGTTACCTGTTTAAGTCTTGCGGCAGTTACATCTAGTCTAAAAAGTACCTTTACAATCCGCCATTTTGTTTTATGTGCGGGGGCGAGTCTAATAAGTACATCCGGTACGGAATCCGGACCGGAGTTGCGGTACGGAAAGAGATAAATGACCCATCTGGAGACAATCCGCGAGCAGGCAGGCAACTTGCCATGGTGGATTTGCCCATGGCTAGGAAACCAATCGCCGATTTTAGATCTACAATTTGATGTTTACATACAGATTTTAATTATTTTGCCACATTGACCTTGCAATCTTTGTAATTAACGGTTTTTAATCTGTCAAACAAAGTTTAAAATCAGCGGGCGATAGCAATAATGCCACTCTTGGCGCGATCTGCCTTTTCAGTACATGGTATTTCCCCTTTCCAAAACGTTATTTGACATTTTGTGAAAATTCTATGTAATAATGTAATTATATTAAAACTTCAATATTTTTCAAAGTTTTGTTGTGAAGGTTTTGTAGAACAGATAGGAACTAAGAACAGATGATTGACTTTGGTACACCATTTGATTTAATGTGTTCAGGGCAAGACAGATAGAATCGGCTTACGCAACAAATGTGAATGTATCGTTTGGTAGCAGCATCCTATAACGGCATCCATCGCTACCATATGCAGCGACCATATGGTGATATGTTGAACCATCAGGATGAAATGATTGAAAGACCTTATTTTCAACCCCACTTTTGAAAAGGAAGAACAAAAGGCGTAAAATTAAGTGTAAGATTTTACTGTTCCTTAATCGAAGTTAAAAAAACAAGAGGCCCAATGGGCCTGAATCGCTCACCTGGTTTTAATCTCACACTTGTCATCTTAAAAGTGGACTAAAATACAACTACAGTCAGAATATCAGTGTTTGATTCATAAAAACTTATTCAAAGATTTAAACATATGACGCATGTGACCTTGAATGTCGAACAAGGACACTAGGTTGAACAGAGTTAATAGTCTTCAAACCCAGCATGCTCCTAGCAAAATATCATTACCCTGGACCTTTTGGTTTTACAGAACAAATCATTTAAAGATTTAAACATATATAAACCACTGTAACCTTGAGTACGGGCGAAGGTCATTTATTTGAACAAACTCTGTAGCCCTTCATACCAGCATGTTAATGGCCAAATATCATCAACCTTGGCCTTTTGCTTATTAAGAAGAAGTCATTCAAAGGTTTTTAACATATTTGACCCCGGTGACCTTGAATATAAGACAAGGTCATTCATTTGAACAAACTTAATAGCCCTTCATCCCATCATGTTACTGGCCAAATATCATCACCCTTGGCCTTTTGGTTATTCAGAAGAAGTTTTTTAAAGATTTTAACATATTTGACCCCTGTGACCTTGAATATAAGTCAAGGTCATTTATTTGAACAAACTTGCTAGCCCTTCATCCCAGCATGTTACTGGCCAAATTCAAGCACCCTAGGCCTCTTAGTTATTCAGAAGAAGTTGTTTAAAGATTTTTTAAGACAAATTACCCCTGTGACCTTGAATATTTGTCAAGGTCATTCATTTGAACAAACTTGTTAGCCCTTCATACCAGCATGTTAATGGCCAAATATCATCACCCTTGGCCTTTTGCTTATGAAGAATTCATTCAAAGGTTTTTAACATATTTAACCCCTGTGACCTTAAATATAAGTCAAGGTCATTCATTTGAACAAACTGGATAGCCCTTCATCCCAGCATGTTACTGACCAAATATCATTACCCTAGGCCTTTTGGTTATTCAGAAGAACTTGTTTAAAGATTTTAACATATTTTGACCCCTTTGACCTTGAATATAAGTCAAGGTCATTTATTTGAACAAACTTGGTAGCCCTTCATCCCAGAATGTTACTAGCCGACTATCATCAACCTAGGCCTCTCGGGTATTCAGACGAAGTTGTTTAAAGGTTTTAAACATATTTGACCCCTGTGACCTTGAATATAAGTCAAGGTCATTTATTTGAACAAACTTGGTAGTCCTTCATCCCAGCATGTTATTGGCCAAATATCATCACCCTGGTTATTCAGAAGAAGTTGTTTAAATGTTTTTAACATATTTGACCCCTGTGGCCTTGAATATAAGTCAAGATCATGTATTTGAACAAACTTGCTAGCCCTTTATCCCAGCATGTTACTGGCCAAATGTAAGCACCCTAGGCCTCTTGGTTATTCAGAAGAAGCTGTTTAAATGTTTTGAACATATTTGACCCCTGTGACCTTGAATATAAGTCAAGGTCATTCATTTTAACAAACTTGGAAGCCCTTCATCCCATCATGCTTCTGGCCAATTATCATCACTCTGGGCATTTTGGTTATTCAGAAGAAGTTGTTTCAAGTTTTTAACATATTTGACCCATGTGACCTTGAAAATATGTCAAGGTCATTTATTTAAAATAAACTTGGTAGCCCTTCATTCCAGTTTGCTTTTGGCCAAATATCATCACCCTAGGCATCTTGGTTATTAAGAAGAAGTTGTTTAACGTAAAATATTGACGCCGGGCGACGGACGGACGGACGGACGACGGACGCCGCACCACGGCATAAGCTCACTTGGTGTTTCGGGCCAGGTGAGCTAAAAATAGTTGAACATCAATTTTTGCAAATGATTGATAGTGTCAACATTAGTTTTGGCGTTCTTCAAGGGGATGGAATGCGAATATCAAAGGTTGGATTACAATTTGGCTTATCTTAAAATACATGGATCCATAATCCTATTTAGATCTTGCAAGAGCTGCTTTGTTGACCATATACACGGATTACTGTAAAGAGACTTTTCCATGTCTAATTCAGAAATCGTGAAGGCGGAAAAGGTTTTGTTTGGAATATCGTTCTTAAATATGACTTACATGATGTATTGTTGCCCTTTTTACAAGGGAATCATTTCCTCCTAAGGAGTCTTGGAACGTCCTACAAAGCGCTTTCTTTTGTGTTAGTATACTACTGACTTGGGCCAGTGTCTCCTTTGTTCGAGATTCAAAAACAAAAAATGTACTGCAATAAGATACCAGTCCTTTGAATAATTGAAAATATCAAAACGGGTTTCCTGCTTTATTGTAGTTTATTATTTATAATAAACTTTGTTTGTAAACAACCAGAGGTTCTTAACAACATGTACTACGTTGTTATTAAATAAATATGTTTATAAATTACATGTGCTCCTATAGCTAATTACTGTAATCGATGTATATATATATGATATAATGCAGTAGTGGCCATGAATAGAGATTTCTATTACGAATGCATACATAACATGCTTAGTAATGTTGAATATTATACTTCGGCAAGTGACGATTTCGATGCGGAAACCCGTAGATTAATCAACGAGCTAATACGGACACATGAAGCATGCCTACATTAAAAGGAGATATATTATCTTGTCAATTTTATGCATAAAACTAGTTATTTCTATGGTTTGCCTAAAATCCACAAAAGCTCTATTATAAGTAAAGCTATAGAAGAACAAAACTGTACATATATTGAAGTTGAAAATCCTACGGATTTGAAGTTTAGACCCATAGTGGGCGGCCCTAATAATGCAACGCAACGTTTGAGTCATCTTGTAGACCTCATTCTTAAACCTTTATGCACAAGTGTAAACAGTTATATCAAAGATGATTTTGATTTTCTGAGCCGTTTATCTAAACAGGTCCCACATAATGCTAAACTTGTTTCTTTTGATGTTGTTAGTTTATACACTAATATACCGCATGATCTTGGTATTGAAGCTGTTAAATATTGGTTGATCAAAAAACGAGAAAAAGTTAATTCTCGTTTTAGTAATGAATTTATACTGCAAGCTCTAGACATTGTCCTCAATCGTAATTCTTTTTATTTTGAGCAAGAATACTTTCAACAGATTAAGGGTACAGCGATGGGAACTAAAGTTGCCCCTACATATGCAACCTTAGTTTTAGGATACTTAGAGGAAACACTTTATTCTAAGATTGAGACAAAGTTTGGGGAAAACTTTACTGAATTTATCAGAAATAATTTTTTAAGGTTCCTTGACGATTGTTTTGTTATATGGCCTTCTGATAAGGATTTAAATGAATTTCAAAACCTATTGAATTCTTTACATCCTTCTATTTGTTATACGATGGAGTGTAGCGAAACGTCTTTACCTTTCTTAGATGTTTTAGTTCAACTAGATTCAAATAAGATTACAACGGATTTATATTGTAAAGCTACAGATGCACATAATTATCTAAATTTTTACTCTAACCACAGTAAACACACTAAAGTTAATATTCCATTTAATCTTGCCTCACGGATTGTCACTATCGTCAGTGACCAACAAGCTCAAATTGCTAGACTAAGTCAACTAAAGCAATACCTTAAAGCTCAATGTTATCCTACTGAGATAATAGAACATGGTATACAGAAAGCTATTGAAAAGGGACCCTTTACTTCCCGTCTACAAAAACTAAAGGATGAATCAAAGTTAGTTCCTTTTGTTTCTACTTTCAATCCACGGAATTGTAATATGTTTCCTGTGATAAAGAACAAATGTGAAGAGTTAAAGCAAAGTAGCAGGCGTATGAGAAACATTTTTAATAAACATGCTATTTTACACTGTAGACGCCAACCTAAAAACTTGAAACGTATGTTGACATGTTCTAAGTTTGATAATTCTTGTGTAACACCAAAAGTATCCAAATGTAAGACACCAAGATGTGCTACATGTCCTATGATTATCGAGTGTAATACTTTTATTTTCAAGAATGGTTTGAAATTTACTGTGAAGGTAAATATGAATTGTAAATCAAAAAATGTAATTTATGCAATCGTTTGTTCTAAATGTGGTGATTTTTACATCGGTCAAACCGGTAATGAACTCAGAACACGTATGACTGTACATAGACAACAAACTAGAACTGATTCTTTACGAAATCTTCATGTTAACAAACATATTTATGAATGTGCTGGAGATAAATTTTATGTATTACCTTTGTATCAACTATTTTCATCAGACACTATTCTAAGAGAAACGAATGAAGACCAACTAATCAAAATATTAAAACTAAGTCTCAACAGGCCACAGTAAAATTTTACGCCAAATGTGTGTACTTCGTGACGTCACGTTACTATTGTAGTGTGATGACATGTAATACGCCATCACGTGATTGAAGCATGTTTCTATATATAGCTGATGGGTATATACGTAAGAAACACCACAACTTAGAGCGTGATCATATGGTAATCAATTAGTAGGCTGGTCGCTGATTGGAGAAGATATGTCTCTAGGCAAACTGGACCCTGGTCAGATTCAATTATCATTGGTCAAGCAGATTAGCATGCATAATTAATGAGAGGTCAGCGTCATGTGCCCGCGTCATCCACATAGTTTCAGAAAATAGCTAAGAGTGCGGACGTATTAATTATCATAATCTAAATTCCAGGCACTTATCAGTGCATTATAATATTTTTCTGTGAAAAGCTATCAAACACAGAACGTGACCCAAACGGACATCGATGTTATGTAAACAAGAGCACGTGTGCGTGGGAGTGTGTGTTTACGTTCTATTTTGAGATGGATAACACAAACTTGGGTGGACTTTAAAAAACCTTTCAATCATGCCTCGCGAACGTCGAGCACGAAATGCGCGAGCTGTAACCACATACGATCGTGCTGACCATCATAACTGGACGATATTGATGTTCCGAGAGGAACTGTCCAAGTTGGGAATTAACACTACCGCCACGATGTCAAAAACTGTCTTACGTCAGATTTATGTAGAAAATGTAAACAACCCAGTACGTGCTCCTATTACATCGTCAACAAGTGCCATACGACCGGAATTAAAAAAAAACAACATACCGGACAATGTATCTTATGAGTCAAACACGGTACGACAGGCTTCCAGCGGAACTATTTCTTCACCTCGGATTGAGCGCCAAACACAACCTGCGGCCGGGCCCAGTGAAACTCCGCGCAGTGATACAGCTCAGACGCACGGCGCATGTACAGCCGGAAGTATCACAGGAAACAACATGGCGGACGTGTTGTCAATGATGCAAATCATGCAACAACAGATGCTAATCATGCAGCAATCGATGATCACACCAAACAACAAAACAACAGAACCGGCTCACGCTACAATCGGCGTATGAAAAGATGGCACAGGCAACAGTGTCGTCATCAACCGGTGAGTCACAATCTTTCATTGAAATACACACCGGCCCGCATGGACCTTTTGCCCCATTTAGACATTGTAACCCTTTCATTACGAAAACACATCCTCGAAGGCAGAGACATACATTTGGGTGCATTACTTATTCCAGGATACGAAATTTCCGTCAAAACAAACACCTGTCCCCATTCCTAAATTAAGACAATCGCCTCACCGACCGACTCTCCATTTCGGAATTCATTCTAGCGTTCGGGATATACGGCCGAATTGTTACAGAAACATTCAAAACGCGACAACATGAATTGGAGATGTAGGAGAGTCTGATTATTAGGATACACCAATGTTACGGAGAACAAGCATTCAACGATTACCATAAACTGTTCTCAGCCAAGGCAGCGGGGGCTTTTCGGGTTGGTAGCCAAAAGATTAACTGGGGCCTTACAGACAGTGCGATCTATGGAATGGTAACCGCGGGGTGTAAACCCAAAGTGTGTGATCTATGTCAATCGGTAACTCACGCAACCCAGCAGTGTGATAAACAGAACAATTCGAATACTACTCAAACCCTCGCAGGAAAGAACAAAAATGGAAAACCAACTGAAGAAATTTGCAGACATTTCAATTCTGTTAAAGGCTGTTTGCGAAGAAGTATTTGCCGTTGCAAACATGTATGCAGCGATTGTAAATCATCAGCGCATCCAAAACAAACATGTTCCAAGAACAAAAAGGCTCAACAACCGTACAACGGCCAATGACTATATATCGCGACAAACAGTATACCGATGACGGCTAATACGCCGGTAAATATTGACATTTTGGAGAAGGAATTATCACAGCATCCAGATCGTGAATTTGTAAAATATTTGTGTGATGGGCTAAGGTACGTTTTCGACACTAAAGTGGACGACATAACTCTTCAAAATAAAGAATGTAAAAACTTGTTATCCACCAACACTGAGAAACATGCAGTGAGTGAACTTATTAGGACAGAGTGTGGTAAAGGTTATTTGTTGGGACCATTCAAAACACCACCGTTCGAGAAGTACCGTATCAGCCCGTTAGGCATAGTAGAGGGAAAATGTTCCAAAAAGACTTAAAGTGGACTTGTCTGCTCCTCATGATGATCCTGAACATCCCAGTATAAATGGTTTGATCGACAGAGAAGCGTGTTCGTTATCATATGTGAGAATTCATGATGCCATTAAAATTATACAGGAATTGGGTCAAGGTTCCTTAATGTGCAAAGCGGATATAACGGACGCGTTTCAGCTTATACCGATCCAACCTGAACAGTGGCATCTTTTTGGTGTAAAATGGGAAGAACATTATTATTTTTATAAAAGGCTTGCTTTCGGATGTTGGTCAAGTCCTGTTATCTTTGACAAATTATCTCAGGCAGTGTGTTGGATAGCAAAAAACAATTACAACATACCGGTCATTTTACACCTATTGGATGATTTTTTAACTATTAGTATGCCTGGCAGCAACGGAGATTACACCATGTAGCGACTACAAACTGTGTTTGTCATGTTAGACATCCCGTTATCACCAAACAAAACAATGGGGCCACTAACGAAAATAGAATATCTCGGTATTATACTGGACAGCAATAATATGGAAGCCAGACTGCCAGCGGACAAAATCGGTAGGATTACTGAATTTTTGAAGACAATGTTAAGGAAACAATCATGTACAAAAAGAGAAGTTTTACAACTTTTGGGACATTTAAATTTTTGAACGCAGATCGTTAAACCGGGAAGATCATTTATTTCATATCTTATCAAATTATCAACCACGGCTAAAAAACTCGATCATCATGTGTTTTTAGATCACGAGTGTAGGGAGGACATACAAATGTGGCTTATGTTCCTTAAAAACTGGAATGGTATATCAGTGTTTTATGATGTGAATTGGACATCCACTGACGATATGGAATTATACACCGATGCATCTTCAACAATAGGCTTCGGAGCATATTACAATGGGTATTGGTTCGCGGTCGCATGGCTAGACTTTCTATTGAAGGAAATACGTGCAGTTTCAGAGAAAGCTGTCTCTATGGCCTTCATGAAGCTATACCCTATTGTGGCTGCAGCAGTGTTGTGGGGTGAAAGCTGGCAGACTAAAAAGATCCTCTTCCATTGTGACAATATTGCCAATGTAAACATTGTAAATAAAGGAAGGTCGAAGTCGTTACATATAATGAAACTCATGAGAAATCTGACATGGTTTGCAGCCAATAATAACTTTTCCTTTCATGCTAAACATGTGCCAGGAGTGGAAAACAATATTGCTGACAGTTTGTCTCGTTTACAGATACAACGCCTCCGACAGCTGGCACCACCAGCAGCACTCAGGCCCAACAGGTGTCCTCCTCACTCAGAAGTAATGTGGAACTAACAGAAACTGTTGATATGATATGGACAAAAACCGTGGGGGAGCGAACAAGGCAAGCATACAAAGGGGGTTACCAAACCTTCTGTCGGTTTCTCGTGCTTTACGGATTTACATGAATTACTACACGCCTTCCACCTATATCAGAGGACATATTAATTTTCTTTGTGGCCTACTGTGTACATTCCCTGGATTTACAGTTGTCTACCATTAAACTATACCTGTGTGGTATTAGATACCATTTATTGACACATGGCGGTACAAACCCTCTGGAAACCATATAAGGCAACACTCTCCCACGGCTTAGTTTATTCATGAACGGGGTTAAAAAGAGTCAAAAACAGGGGACGAGGGAACGTTTACCCATCACTTTGATATCTTGAAACAAGTATGCACCGTAATCAATGCTGTACAGTTGTGTGTACATGACCAAGTGTTGTACAAAGCCGTATGTTGTGTTGCCTTATATGGTTTCTTGAGGTGTGGTGAATTCACCGTCAACCAAAACAACTTTGACCCTACCATTAATTTATGCGTGGGTGACATCCATATACAGTCAGACGATTTACTCAAGGTGTGTCTCAAATCTTCCAAAACGGACCATGCTCGGAAAAGTGTGAATATTTTAATATTCGCCAACGGACTCTCGGTGTGCCCGCATAAAGCATTATGCAAATATTTAGACATGAGGAAAAAGATGACAAATGGAAATGGAAATTCACCATTGTTTGTAACCAGCGACAATGCAGTGTTATCACGGAATGTATTTATTCAAGTTTTGAAAACAATATTGGGAACAATAGGATTAGACACTAAATTANTTTTTTTCACCAATTCAACCTTCTCCGGTTGCACGATCAACATCACTCTGACCTGATTACTGCAGACTTCCGTTGAGTGCGTGCGCCGGATATAGGTGGCAATAAAATCGGAAAATGTTTTACGACACTTGATTAGTTACTTACAAAATGTTATTTGTTACTATTTATGAATCGAGAATATGATATATATATAAATTAAAAATAAATGAATTATTAAAGAAAGTTGCGGAGTCATTTCAGTTGTGTATGGGAAATAGCGCGTGACGTCAGCTGTTATCTTTGTGCCGTTCTAGATATTGACCTGACATGACGGTAATAAGAGGGAAATTTGAAATTTGGAAAAGAAATAAATCATTTTTTGCGAATTCTCATTATGGAAATGTAAATATAAGCAATAAACTGCATGGATGTTGCAGACCACATCTATGCAGTTTATTGCTTAAATATACGCCAACGGACTCTCGGTGTGCCCGCATAAAGCATTGTGCAAATATTTAGACATGAGGAAAAAGATGACAAATGGAAATGGAAATTCACAATTGTTTGTAACCAGCGACAATGCAGTGTTATCACGGAATGTATTTATTCAAGTTTTGAAAACAATATTGGGAACAATAGGATTAGACACTAAATTATACAGCGGGCACTCGTTCCGCATAGGGGCCGCTACGACATGCGCTACAGCAACGTAGCCGACCACCTGATAAAAACCTTAGGGCGATCGTCGTCAGACTGTTACCAGAGGTACATCAAAACAGCACCAAAAACAATTAGAGAGACCCAACATAGCATGTCCAAAACATAACGGTAACATTAATTCACACTATGTACGAAGTGTGCACTCATATTAGACAGTGATTAAATCACCATGTGGAGTTATTGCCTGATATCATGGATTATATTACCTGTATTCGTGGACTAGTATCATATATGAGTGTGAACACTGACAATGGTGCCTTCATAACCTTGAAGGGGCGAGTGACGTTTATCTGCATTAGTTTTTGACAACCAGGTACCGTATGCTGTATTTTTAAATCGTAATGTAAATACTGTAAATTACTTATGTTTTTGTGTATATTTTATGAGCATGTCTCATGGTTTTCGTGTTATGAATTATTTTAGGCAAATATAATAGCATGTATTGTACCACTAGATGGTGTAGATGTAACGTTATAAAATATGCATACACAGCACAATATAAGTAATCTACCGTAACTAGTAAGTGGTGAAATAGAGATAGTGATGTATACGGTTTACCAAGAGAATTAACAGTGTTAACCAGCAATATATATAAATGTATAAGTATTAACTTGGGGGCTTTTCAGCTGCACACAAGCACATACGAGAGGTATAATGTACAGCTTTAATTTGGGAGGTATACAACACATATAATGTGGCGTATTCAGCCCCCATGTTAAATTACAGACTCTATACCTACAATTAGGTACCTATACAATTTAGGTATCACATTATAGATCGAGGATTTTCCACATAAGGAATCATAATGAGGATTCGGTATCAATTTGACCACGGATCTTATGGTCCGAACCCATGATTTCAGGAGACGTCCTACATAAGGTCTATATACAATAGAGCTAGATATCATACAGACTCGAGGTTTTCCCAGGTTCATATCCCAGATGATATCCATATAAGTAAGTGGCATCATGATGCACAGCTGCGCATGGTCCATTTACAGGTCGGGAACTATCCCTAATAAGAGTCTGTATGATCAAGGGAAAACTCCTCCAGCCGTGGAATCAGGGGTGCATGTTGCTCCTGGTTGGGATCACGTCAGTAATCTGGGAGTTTTCCCCAGTTGTTTGCATTGTATATAATAAGTGTAGATGATATAGCCCCCAAGGCCAAAGTTTACTTGTGTTATATGAATGTATGATGTTGTAAATGTTATTAGATTTAATTAGAAGTGTTAACTCATAGGATCACAATGTTGATTCATGTTGCATTGTGCAGTTATTAAATTACATTTATCTGACTGTATAATAGTGTTCTGGTTGTGTATAAATTGTAGTTTATTATTTATAATAAACTTTGTTTGTAAACAACCAGAGGTTCTTTACAACATGTACTACATTGTTATTAAATAAATATGTTTATAAATTACATGTGCTCCTATAGCTAATTACTGTAATCGATGTATATATATATATATAACTTGTTATAATTTAGGGTATACATGTATTATCCATGTAATAGGCCATCACGTGATTGAAGCATGTTTCTATATAAAGCTAATGGGTATATTCGTAAGAAACACCACAACTTAGAGCGTGATCATATAGTAATCAATTAGTAGGCTGGTCGCTGATTGGAGAAGATATGTCTCTAGGCAAACTGGACCCTGGTCAGATTCAATTAGCATTGGTCAAGTAGATTAGCATGCCTAATTAATGAGAGGTCAGCGTCATGTGCCCGCGTCATCCACATAGTTTCAGAAAATAGAACAGAGTGCGGACGTATTAATTATCGTAATCTAACCACCAGCCATTCCCCAACCACCACCTTATGTAAATTATAATATCATTAATTATGTTGTCTATGTAAGTCAGAATGTACATAGGACCAGGCATCTAATATGCATGTAGGCTTGAGATAGTAGCAAGTCCATGATAATTTAAAATTTAATGAACATATATTATGTGTCTAGTGCAAAGTACACATATTTGGCATTATGTCTTCCACAGAGACATATGTTAGGGGTTATATCATATGGGTAAAGCTTGAACAGCTGCTTACATAATCACAATACAAGAGGTATAGGGTTTAAGGGAGGTATATATACAACACATATAAGGTGGTGTATTCAGCCCCCATGTTAAATTACAGACTCTACACCTAAAATAAGGTACCTATACAATTTAGGTATCACATTATAGATCGAGGATTTTCCACATAAGGAATCATAATGAGGATTCGGTATCAATTTGACCACGGATCTTATGGTCCGAATCCATGGTTTCAGGAGACGTCCTACATAAGGTCTATATACAATAGAGCTAGACATCATACAGACTCGAGGTTTTTCCAGGTTCATATCCCAGATGATATCCATATAAGTAAGTGGCATCATGATGCACAGCTGCGCATGGTCCATCTACAGGGTTGAGGATTGTCGGGAACTATCTCTAATAAGAGTCTGTATGATCAAGGGAAAACTCCTATCGTGGGATCAGGGGTGCATGTTGCTCCTGGTTGGGATCACGTCAGTAATCTGGGAGTTTTCCCCAGTTGTTTGCATAGTATATAATAAGTGTAGATGATATAGCCCCCAAGGTCAAAGTTTTACTGGTGTTATATGAATGTATGATGTTGCAAATGTTATTAGATTTAATTAGAAGTGTTAACTCATATGATCACACTGTTGATTTATGTTGCATTGTGCAGTTAATAAATTACATTTATCTGACTGTATAATAGTGTTCTGGTTGTGTATAAAGTAGAACATGTGTTAATGTTGCCATTATTCAGCATGTCTTCAGTGAAAGATATTTGGAGCCATGCTTTTATTTGGTTTTATTTTGTTTAACCTCCTATTAACGGCTAATGTCATTTAAGGACGGCCTCCCCTGTGTGCAAGATGTATGCGTGTAGTGTATGTGTGTGTATTTTGGGGGGCTTGCGATGCAAAATTACCAGCGATCACCATATCCATGTGTACGTTTCACTGGACCAGGCTAGTCAGGACATTAAGATGGCCAATTTCCTTGGTTCTCCTACTGATTTATGTATCGCGGCTTATATTCGTGTTAAGTAAGAAATTCCAAGCTTATTTTCGAAATCGTCTGATCTTAGAAGCCAGTTAGACCGGTTTATTATCAAGACTACCTTACATTTGAAGCCTTTTAAACCGTCGATCCCATAAGCATTTACCGTAAACATTTGTGCAGTTTACGCAGTGGTTTGGTGATGAATAAAGTATGACGTAAGGTAGCAGTGTACATTAGCGTACAGTGGCCATGGGTGATATTTGTGTACAATGAAATAACCCCTGTAATATTACATGTATCAAAACTTTAAAAAAAAATCAGCACTAATATTGGCATATACATGATGAAGTGGACTATGTGGGCTTCACATTTAAAAAACCCAAAAACAATTCGTACTCAGCACATGTGTAAAAATCCAGTTGAACGATCTATGCTAAAACGTGAGTATTTCTGTTAC